AACTGCGCAGCTACCTTGGCTTGCAGATCACCCGGGACAGAGCACGCCGCACCATTACCCTGACTCAGTCACACATGGTGCAGCAGGTCCTTCAGCGCTTCGGCTTCACGTACTCCTCGCCTCAGGCCACTCCTCTGCCTACTCGCCACTCGCTCTCAGCTCTGCCTTCGGATGAGTCCGTAGAGTCGAGTGGCCCGTACCCAGAGCTTGTTGGCTGCCTCATGTACCTGATGACCTGCACACGACCTGACCTCGCATACCCTCTTAGCATTCTCGCACGCTATGTTGCTCCTGGGAGACACAGACCGGAGCACATGGCTGCAGCGAAGAGGGTGTTGCGTTACTTGTGCAGTACGTCGGGCATGGGGCTTGTGCTTGGAGGGCAGAGTCCAGTGGTCCTCACTGGGCACGCAGACGCTTCTTGGGCTGACGACCAGGCTACGCAGCGGTCGTCACAGGGTTACACCTTCAGCCTTGGTTCCGGCTCTGTTTCGTGGCGGGCTACCCGCTCGTCTTCTGTTCTCGGCTCCAGTTGTGAGGCTGAGATCTACGCCGGGGCCATGGCTGCACAGGAGCTTCGCTGGCTCACCTACCTGCTGACTGACCTCGGAGAGGCGCCTCGTTCTCCTCCAGTGCTGTACGTAGACAACAAGGCCATGCTGGCCTTGTGTCGAGAGCAGAGACTGGAGCACAGAACGAAGCACATTGCTCTCCGCTACTTTCTTGCTCGTGAGCTACAGCAGCGTGGTCAGCTGCGGCTTGCGTACGTGGCCTCCCAGGCCAACACTGCTGATATCTTCACCAAGGCACTTGCGCCTTGTGATCATCAGCGCTTCTGTACTCAGCTGGGTCTTGTGCCTACCTTGCCTCACTTGCTCACCCCTTGACCTTGTTTGTACTGTTGCATATATATATACACCTGCTCTTGCTTGTCTAGCCTTATATATATATGTAATCCTGCATGTGAACTGGCCTTGTGGCCTTGAACTTGTGCTCGGAATGTGTGGTGACTTTGTGATCCACCCTGAGCTTGCTTTGCTTTGCTTGACTGGTCTTGTGACCCCTTGTTCTCCCCCACTTTGCCTATGGGGGTGTGTCAGATTTATATGACATAGCTACTGTAGGCTATAGTGGGGTAGCACATATGGGGTACAGTTTTCTAGGGTTTACATTTGTACCCAACTTTCCCTTAGTCAATTCATTCTCGTTCAGTTTCTCAGCCACAACGGGCACTACAGGACGAAACTGGCACAGCGGGAACGGTAGACTATGTGCAACGGGCTCGAGAGGCACTAGCGGGATCTCAAAGGATCCTAACCTAGGTGATACCATGTCAAGAATGAAAGTGTTGGTTTGACTAAGGTTGGTTGGGGTACATAAACCTAACCCTAACAGTTGTACCCCCTGTAACACACATCACTAAGACTACAACATTTGACAGGGTTTATACAGTGGCATGAGAAAATTATGTTTATCATAGAGTTCCCATTTATAAGATCTATAAGACTAAGACATCTTTAGTTCATGTTATAAGATAAAGCAACCATTTTTTTCAACAATATTGAATACCGTAGGACACATACATCTGATTTCCAGGCGATGACGGTAGTAAAATAGAGTTGATGCATGTAAATTCGCTCGTACCGTCAGCCCCCGGATAGAAGCGCCCCTGGGGTTGTAAAAAAGCACTGTTTTTTAGGGGGTGCGCTTATATTTGAGGATTTTTATAAGCGCCGGGGCTTATATAATGACATATATGAAATCTAGTTTTTTTACACTAAAGTGTTCATGTCGTCCTTGCGATCTGAATCGAATCGATATTGTAGAGGACATCGAATGTGAATTTCTCGTAAATCGGCAGTGGCTGATTCCCTGCCAACACACACAGTCAGAATGAGTCAGATTGACCCCATGACAGCTCATTCTGACTGGACGCGAAGGCATTGAGTCACACGAAGGGGAAGGGTTTCGAAATTCTGAATGTGGGGATGCAATATTGTGTTTCGTTACAGCGTTTCCAGTAAAAATATAAAAAATATTACAAAGGGTGGCGCTTATAATCCGTAAGCCTTCAGTGGTGCGCTTATAATCGAGGACCGGATATAAGCGCCCTCATCCTTTTATAAGCGCCGGCGCTTATCCGAGGCCTGCGGTTCTATCCGGGGGCTTACTGTAACTTCGCATCCCTTCACTTCTCTAGTGCCTCATCTTGTGTTGATTTGCGGTGCCCACTGAGCTTTGAATAGACAAATGACCATAATTTATGGCATCACAGTAGTTCACTGCCACCATACAAGTCGTGCTTCATTGTTTTGCGTTGTGCATAAGGCGTCGACTCATATACAAATGAGAGGAACGAATACTAATTACATTGCAGTGCGGGCGTTGACAAGACCAGCAACGGAGGATGCAAGGGAACGTAGGAGGGAGACCGTGAAGCCGCTGATAACACCTGCCACAGAGGGAAACACGATGAGAAGTACAGAAACAGAGCGAACGCAGCACAAACAGGGAAAATTAACAACATCGCGGTGAGTGGAACAAGGAGCAAAGGGATGGCTGAGAGTTCAGGGTTAAAGGTTTAGGGACCACTTTGCAGCAAGAGGTGAGGAATATGGGTGGGAGGGAGGAGAAGATGGGATTCGTATCATGGGGTAGGGAGGGGGGAGCAAGGATGGCGTTGGGAAGGCAAAATACAGAGAGAATAATCAGGGAAGAGGCAGAGTGAGAAGAGTGATGCGCAGAGGGGAGGGGAAAGAGGCTGACAGAAGAAGATGATGGTGGCGAGGGAGGCGATGCGACCGACAGCTGCTGTGACGTAGAGGAAGAGCAGCACCTGGCATGGTAGGGAGGAAGAGAAACAGCTGAGGGGGTCACACACACACCCTTGACTGGCCTGACCAAGGATGGTCCACACGGAAACGTGCATGCATGAGCCGGGCCCATGGATAAGCCATCAGAAAAGGACAATGTTGATGCGCAGAGGTAGAGTCGACTTGTGAGCCGCGGTGTTGACTCTCAGCTTCCACTGCAAGCTATCCTCGAACGAAAGGAGCGTGAGTTGTGGTGCTGCGAGTGACTCACTGCCCAGTGGCCACTCCACGGCACCCCAGCACCCACCTTGACGAAGAGGCGCACGTCGGAGCCGCTGGCAGCCACTCGCAGCACGCCCTCCGCTGCCCCCAGCACGTTGGCCCCCGCGGCCACCACCGCCTCCGCTGCCCCCTCCGACACCTGCCAGGGGCGCGCTGTGTGCAGCAGCGGGCTGGGGGACGAGGGGGGCGGGAATGCAGAGAAGGGAGGCGCAGGAGACTGGGAGGCAAACGGAGTAGGACTAGGGAGGGCAACGGGGGCAAACAAGAGACTTGTCCGGCGGCCCTGGAACAACAGCCACCCTTCCAGGACTAGTCGCTTTCTGTGGTGGCATCCGCCCCTGGTGCTGCACGCTGAGTGCGAGCGATGGGCCAAGGGTGTGGGGTGGGATGGGAGTGCGCACGGGGAGAAGAGAAGTGGAAACAGGAGGCTGGTATAAAGGCATGCTTGGAACCTGGAATAACCAGACAAGAAAGTGGAGACCGGCGGTGGAGGTGGAGACGGGATTAGGGAGGGGCCGGGGGGGATAAGAGGGAGGGCGAGTGAGCATGTGGAGGTGATGTTTGAAAGGGTGTCGTGGTTTGGTAACGACCTGCTTATGTCCAGGACGAGGGACGGACACGTGCAGGCTGGCAGGTGGAGAAAGGGAGAAGGTCAACTCACGGGAGGTTGAGGGCGCGTGAGAGGAGGGCGAGCAGGGCGGCGGCAGTGGTGAGGACGAGGAGCACGTCGGCAGTGAGGGCGAGGAGGGGGCGGTGCATGGCGTGGCAGTGCAGATACACCACCCCCGCCAGCACGCCCCCCACCACCCACACATGTGCCTGCTGCCGCGCGCACACAGCATACAGCACCGCCGTGGGGTGCAGACCTGCTGCTGTGGTGCGGTGGGTGGGACAAATGGGCGGCAGGGTATGCGGGAAGAGGTGTGAAGTGAGATGTGTGACAATATGGAAGGAATAAACAGGTGGGTGGGTGGATGCATGCGCGAGTTGCACTGAATCAACCATTGGAATTTGGTTTCAAATAGATACTGTGAAGCACACTCACACCCATGCGAGGCACATACACCTATGCGAGGCACATACCCCCATGCGAGGCACATACCCCCATGTGAGGCACATACCCCCATGCGAGGCACATACCCCTATGCGAGGCACATACCCCCATGCGAGGCACATACCCCCATGCGAGGCACATACCCCCATGCGAGGCACACACCCCCATGTGAGGCACATACCCCCATGCGAGGCACATACCCCCATGCGAGGCACATACCCCCATGCGAGGCACATACCCCCATGCGAGGCACATACCCCCATGCGAGGCACATACCCCCATGCGAGGCACATACCCCCATGCGAGGCACATACCCCCATGCGAGGCACATACCCCCATGCGAGGCACATACCCCCATGCGAGGCACATACCCCCATGCGAGGCACATACCCCCAAGCGAGGCACATACCCCCATGCGAGGCACATACCCCCATGCGAGGCACACACCCCCATGTGAGGCACATACCCCCATGTGAGGCACATACCCCCATGTGAGGCACATACCCCCATGTGAGGCACATACCCCCATGCGAGGCACATACCCCCATGCGAGGCACATACCCCCATGCGAGGCACATACCCCCATGCGAGGCACATACCCCCATGCGAGGCACATACCCCCATGCGAGGCACATACCCCCATGCGAGGCACATACCCCCATGCGAGGCACATACCCCCAAGCGAGGCACATACCCCCATGCGAGGCACATACCCCCATGCGAGGCACACACCCCCATGTGAGGCACATACCCCCATGTGAGGCACATACCCCCATGTGAGGCACATACCCCCATGTGAGGCACATACCCCCATGTGAGGCACATACCCCCATGTGAGGCACCTGCAGTCTTCATTGAGCCACTTGCTGAGACAACAGCGAATCCCGCTGCTCAGTCTTGCTTGTGCCAAGCTGCATCTGAGGAGGAGCAGAGAGGAGGGACAGGGGCGCGAGAATGGTGACGGGTGGGACACAAGAGCGCCAGTGGAACTTCATTGCATCAAGAGAGCGTTGCAGCAATGACGGAAAGGGCAGCGCAGGGAAAGGGCAGAGCAGGGAAGGGCAGAGCAGGGAAGGGCAGAGCAGGGAAGGGCAGAACAGGGAAGGGCAGAGCAGGGAAGGGCAGAGCAGGGAAGGGCAGAGCAGGGAAGGGCAGAGCAGGGAAGGGCAGAGCAGGGAAGGGCAGAGCAGGGAAGGGCAGAGCAGGGAAGGGCAGAGCAGGGAAGGGCAGAGCAGGGAAGGGCAGAGCAGGGAAGGGCAGAGCAGGGAAGTGAGCAGTGGGAGGGAATGGCAGTGGGAGGGAAAGTGGAAGCGCGCAGAGTGCAGTGCGTTGGTGCGTGCAAAGATGTGACGGTGGGACTCACTGGCCGCACACGCTGGCGAGGCGGGATTGACGAGCGGAGATAACTGCAGGGAGGGACAATGGTGTGGCAGCAGGGACAATGGTGTGGCAGCAGGGACAATGGTGTGGCAGCAGGGACAATGGTGTGGCAGCAGGGACAATGGTGTGGCAGCAGGGACAATGGTGTGGCAGCAGGGACAATGGTGTGGCAGCAGGGACAATGGTGTGGCAGCAGGGACAATGGTGTGGCAGCAGGGACAATGGTGTGGCAGCAGGGACAATGGTGTGGCAGCAGGGACAATGGTGTGGCAGCAGGGACAATGGTGTTGCAGCAGGGACAATGGTGTGGCAGCAGGGACAATGGTGTGGCAGCAGGGACAATGGTGTGGCAGCAGGGACAATGGTGTTGCAGCAGGGACAATGGTGTGGCAGCAGGGACAATGGTGTGGCAGCAGGGACAATGGTGTTGCAGCAGGTAGATTCGCTCGGAATAGGGAACGGAAGGGGATACAGGGGAAGGGGGGGGGAGGAAAAGGAAGGGATAAGGGAAGAAAGGGGAGTACAGGCGGTTGCGAAGGAGGGGAGGGAGAAGCAGGCATGGGTATGGAAGGGAAGGTATGGGAAATAAGGAGGAAGGGAGGGGTAATCTCGTCATGTCTCTCCACCCCCTCTCGACTCCTTACCTTACAGTCCCGTCCCTTCACTCCAGTTGCTACTCACCCAACTCCATTCCCATTGCTCCAACATCCTAACCTGCGTCGCTTCCTACCCTCTCGCTTCTGTTCCCGTTCTCCTCCTTTTCCTCTCACGCCGTCCCACACTCCCTACCTGGTAGCACTAGGCGGATGGCTTCAGCGCCGGCATCCGCCGAGAGTGCGAGGGGAGCGCGTGAAGGGGGTGAACGGGTGCGAGCGGTGGGCGTGAAGGATACGCGACGTATTCGCGGGTGGTTCGAGAGAAGCGGGCCTAGTGGCCTGCTGGTCTCGCTCTGCCTCGCGTCGTCTGATTGCGGAACCCCAATGCCGCGCGGGTGAACGACTGTGAAACGCGACGGCACTCGTTTATCTCTATACGTGGCAAACCACCCACGGCGCTGCGGGATGGGATGACGCGGCTCGTCGTTCTGAAAGCAGATGCGAGAGGTGTCGCCTCTAGGGTGGCGCGTGCGATGGACGCGAAGCTCGAGCGGAGGTCATCGCGCGATGCTAAGCTGGATAAAAATTCATGAGATTTTTGCTCAATCCTGCGGAATCGAGGTTTGTTTTATTATCGCCACGTGGTGTGCCAATGATCGCGGGAACCGCGATCTGTTTTATTGTTCGTGGGGAGGAATTTCGCTCAATCCCGCGGAAGCGCGGTTCGGTTTATTTTCGCCACGTGGCGAGCTTATGATCGCGTGAACCGCGATCTGTTTTATTGTTATCACAAACTTCAAGCGAATTTTAGTTAAGTTCTAGATTCTTCTGCCCACGGGCAAAAATAAAACCCCTATAGGTAAGGCATGCGTTAGGGATGCATCAACCCTAAACACTTAGAGGCAAGGTGTTTAGGGTTGATGCCTCCCTAACGCATGCCAGGCCCAAATGGGTTTTATTTTTGCCCACGGGGAGCGCAGTACAGAACTTAACTAATTTTTTCTTGAGGTTTGTGATAACAATAAAACAGATCGCGGTTCACGCGATCGAAGGCATGCCACGTGGCGATAGTAAAACAAAACTCTCGTTCGTGTGTCACATGTACTGCGCTGCCCGCGGGCAAAAATCAAACCCCTTTAGGAAAGGCATGCGTTAGGGATGCATCAACCCTGAACACCTAGAGGCAATAAGTTTAGGGTTGATTCCTCCATATCTCTCAGCGGAAATGGGTCGTCAAGCCTGACGACCCTCCAACGACCTGACGACCTGCTGCCCCGGGCAGAAAAAACCAAAACCCTATCGGATGGCATGCCATCCGAGTGAGGCATCAACCCTAAATCCATGCCTCCCTGTGTTTAGGGTTGATGCCTCCCTGACCGGATGCATGCCCGAGTAGGTTTTTTTTTGCCCGCGGGCAGCGAGCGCCCCCGGACGGACTCGCTTGACCGCTGAGGTATTTCATTCCCTAACGCATGCCAGGTCTGAATGGGTTTTATTTTTGCCCGCGGGCAGCACAGTACATGTGACCCACTAAACTTAACTAAATTTCTCTTGAACTTTGTGGGAACAATAAAATAGATCGCGGTTCTCGCGATCGAAAGGAGGCCACGTGGCGATAATAAAACGAACCGCGATTCCGCAGAATTGAGCAAAACTCTCATAAATTCATGCATGCCATGGTCTCTTGTCCCAATTAGGCGAGTTGATGCATAGACTTTCGGCTTGCTTTCCCAAGCCTGGGCCAAGCGTTTTTGTTCACCGTTTGGTTTGGTTGGGGTCAAAGCGTCAGACCTCACCTCTCGGCTCGGTCCACAACCACGGAGCCTGTCCAGGTCGGGAAGCACTAGCTTGGGGATTCACTAACGTGAGGACTACTATAGATGGAGTTGCGATGTTAGAATATAATATACTTGTTTAAACTAAAAAAAAAATGAATATGCGGCGAATGCAATCCAGTGTAGGGCCCTCGATATCAGGGCAAAACATCCTGATTACCCTGATTTCAGGATGAGGTTTTGATTATGCGTGTAGTGTTTTGCCCTGTAGCGTCATGATAAAACTTGAGGATTGCCCTGGCACGAATTTTGAAAGGAAGAGAGGAGGGGGGGAGGGGGGGTGGGGGGAGAGGGGGGGGGGGGGGGGGGGGGGGGTGAGGTGCGGGGAGGTGCGAAGGGTTTGAAAAATTCCGTGTGCAGAACTTCCCCCGCGATGTTTTTCCCGTGTATTTTTCTCGCCTTCTCCTAAGCCAATCAGGTTTGACACACACGCGTACGGGCCAACCTACCACGAAACGCTTCACATGTGCTGGGCTGGGAGGAGGAAGGGCACGGGACGGGAACCCAATCGTCCTGTGCCTTGTGCCATCCCCTCCAACTCTCTCTTCTCCAGCGTTCCTGCTAAAGTAGCAGCACTACTGAAGCTCTTAACTCTCTCGTTCGTTGGCAATCATGGCCAACGAAAACGATGTCGTGCCGCCGGTAGCATCCGCTGACCCTGTCGGAACTAGTCCCTACTGTGACAGCCTTGCCGATTGTATCGCCCGTCGCTGGTCCATCTCGAACTCACGCAGCCACGCCTCCCCATGCTAGTAGAAACGGCAACAATGCCATCAGATCTGCGGAGATAACTACTACAACGTGAGCTAGACTACGGGCTAGGCATGGGTGCTCGTGTGATCTCTGCGTTCGTTGGTCCTTAGTCGTTTTCCTAGTGCTCACACTACTTGCTAGTTCACGGGGCAAGTTGGCAAGAGTTTCACTAGAGAAAGTTGACAATAATGGTTTAATGAAGTTGGCATGGCAAGACTACATCTGAGCTAGCATTCAGGTCGGTCGACTGCCAGCACAGCTCTTCCGACCGCGTTTTAGCACGACACCGTCGACCGCGCTCCAGCAGTGCAAAGTCGACGGCGTGCCAACGTCGCAGGTTGACGGCGTGCCAGCGTTGCTCACGCACAACAGCAGCGCACCCGCTTCGCAGGTGCGCGCAGATGATTGGCAGGCTGAGCCTCGTCACTTACACAACGCACACACCAAGTCATCCTCGTGCTGACGACTCCACATGATCCGCCGTGTCGACCTCGGGATACCACCCCCGAGGTCGGGCTCGCCAACTTCGCTTGGGCGACCGTCGCACTCCTCCGCAGAACCTCGTCACCCAGGTAACCTGGTCGACCGGGCAACCACGTCGACCAGCTGCTCCTGTATGTGCCCGTCGACCTCCCAAGTCGACGACCACCCCAAGTCGACCTCACCAGGTTGACCACGCCCCTAGGTCGACCAGCTCCAGGTCGACGTCCCCTTTGGTCGACCAGATCCACGTCGACCAGCGCAGTTGTCAACCGACCACCCAAGTCGGCTACCCGAAGTCGGCGTCACCAAGTTGACGCCCTGCTACTTCGACACCCAACTGCTCGGCGTCCTGAGTCGAGGTCGACGTCGGCCCCTGCTTCATCGACCAGCAGGTCTGGTCAGCCGACCACCCAAGTCGGCTGCCCCAAGTTGACGTCACCAAGTTGACGTCCTCCCCAGGTCGACTTCCCAGGTCGACCTCCCTGAAGTCGGCTTCATACTGAAGTCGACCCCGTGCAGTGGTCCCCGTGCAGGTCGACCTCCTCGCCAACCAACTCGCCCACTGCTGCAGGTCGGATGCTCCCCTCACATCCGACCACAAAGTCGGCTCCGCCCAAGCGAGGACGTGGCCAACACACAACTCCCGTTGACACTCCCCTGCCGCGTTCACGCTTGGGCCCCCCAGCCCACACGGCAGTACTCCTCGGAGAATAGCTCGTCGACGTGCCAACTCACAGCACGTCGTCCACCGCACCAGCCATGCAAGAGGGCATGACACCTACTGCTGCACGTCGTCAACTTCGTCGCCCACGTCAGCCAAGCGCATCTGGCCGATGGCGACGGAACACCGGTTGAAGGCCGGATAGTGCAGCGCCTTCGTCAGGAAGTCGGCCGGCTGCTCGGTGGTCGGGATGTACCTCAGCGAGAACTTCCTACGCTTCACCATGTGCTGCAGCCAGGCCTGTCGCCGCTCCATGTGCTTGAGGTTGCCCGTCAACCCCATGCCCTCGGCGACTGTGATGGCCGACTTGTTGTCCACCCGGAGAACGGTCGGCTTCCCGGTATCCAGCTGTCGGAACTCTGCAAGGAGGAAACGAAGTCCGCGTCCCTCCTTCCCGGCTTCCGTGGCCGCCACATACTCCGACTCGGTCGACGACAACGTCGCGCACTTGATGCGCTGGCTCGACCAGGAGACTGCGGCCCCTCCGTAGACGAACACGTAGCCGCCAGTGCTCGTCCTGTTTTGCTTGTCACCAGCGTCGTCGGCGTCCACTTAGCCGACCAGCTCCAGCGACTCAGGTCCACCACCGAACTCCAGGGCGGTGTCACGCGTGTTGGCGAGGTAGGCGAGGCAGCGGTCGACCTCGCGCCAGTGCTGGTCGCTCCTCACCATGAGGCCGCTCCCCAGCTTGCTGCAGGCGAAGGCATGTCCGGCCTCGTCGTCGTTGCCGCGAACTGCAGCGAGCCGACCTTCTGCCGGTACTCCTCCTCCTGTCGCTCCTGTGCCTCCTCGTCGTCGAAGGTGAGCTCGGCGTAGGCGTCGACCGAGACCGGCGTCTTCGGAGTGCGCCCGGTCTGCTCCTCGTTGATGAAGCGCCTACGCAGCTTGTCGGCGTAGCCCTGCTGGTGCAGCCACAGCTTCCCCGTCGACCTGTCGCGGACGATCTCCAGCCCGAGGTACTTCTGCACCGGCGAGATCTCACGCAGCTCAAAGGCGGCCTCCAGCAGCTCCTTCAGCTCCTTCAGCATCTCGGTGCTGCTGCTGGCGGCGAGCAGGTCGTCGATGTAGACCAGCACCTAGCAGGCCACTCCGTCGTTGCCGACCTTGAAGTACAGAGCCTCGTCGACCTGGCTCTTCTTCCACCCGGCGTCGACCAGCACGTCGTTGAGCGCCAAGTACCACAGCAGCGGCGACTGCTTCAGCCCGTACAGGCTCTTCAGCAGCTTGCAGACCCGGCCGGTTCCGTCGTTGAAGTAGTCCAGCTGGGACATGTAAAGCACCCGGTCGAGCTTGCTCTGCAGGAAGGCGT